CATGTGACTCCACTTGCATACTTTGGTTTTCAGTTATGACGAGGCAGCAGCCAGAGGAATCTCTTGTGCTGCTGCAACACTAAGTTAGCTGGGTTTTGAAAGGCAACACGTGAAGAACAGCACCAGCTCCGTCACCAAGCAGAGGGGCTCCATCCTTCTCCATGTTCAAATCTGCTCAGCCGAGCAGCCGGKGAAGCTATTAAGAAGATAAGGCCCATGATTTTGGATCCCAGCTCTACTTCAGTAGCAGTCAGGAAAGCCCTCAGGAGCTGGCGAAGCAAACGGGAGTGCACAGCAGCGCCCGGCTCCCGCGAGACACGAGCCGGAACGCGCTGAGGTGCCCGGCTCCCACGGGGACATGGGCTCGGCCGCCCCATCCCGTCCCCAGCGAAGGGAGGCGAGCAGATGGCAGGCAGCACCGAGCACAGCGGGAGCTGCGGCTGCTGCTGCTAATCGAGTCCAAGCCGGCCGTAGGAAGCGAGGACTCACTCTTCAGGCTATTTTTATCCACAGCTCTATTTCAGACGGGACTTTGATTGTTTTCCTCGTGAGCCACGCTAAGATTAGGCCAGCAAACCCTGAATACTGACCTGAAAGAAACCCTAGGTAAGGCAGAGCGTGTTCCTGCTACTAATACCATGCACAAAATGTCATCCTCCTCAAAGCACTAGCGGTACCTGCAATTTGAGCCATTTGCTGGCATCGCCTCTGCTCGCCATTGCSGCAGCTGAGGAGCTCTTGCCAACAGCTCCGGCCCTGGCCTCCAGGGAAAATCCGTAGTAAGCACAATGGAGGGAACCAAGGGCTGTCCCTGGGACACTGAGCTGCACTGCAGCCGATGGAGCAGCTAATGGAGGGGCCACCTTAGCCAGGCTATGGSGAGCAGACAGCCAGGCAGCACAGCACGAATACTGCCATCATACAGAAGCTTGTATGCATGAATGTAGACATACATGGCCATATATATGGCTTCTGGTTTTACATGCAAGCACACGGAATGGAATTTTATTTTTAAATGCCACATTTGGACTTAAGGTTAGCCCCAGCTTTCTTTTCCAGAGTCTAACTAGTATTTACCATGCCTGATATATGTGGAATGGAAAGAAAAGGAGATGCAGATCTGCAAGAGATAACACTCTCTAAATAAACATAGCATATATGTGATATGTGTGTACATACACACATATTATGTGTGCATATAAATATATATGTGTTATATTAGAATATATAAATATATTAGCATAAATAATTTTATGAATGCTAAATACTCTCCAGGCATTTACTTAGATATGCATTCTTATGATTAGAATCTTTAAATAACATTTATGACAATTAACTGCCAAATTATACTAATTAATGCTGCTCCTTCCTCAGATATTGGTGAAAAGAAGCCCTTTGGTCTATTTCTCACTCAATTGTACCTTTCAAATGTAGCTTTGTGTATATYTGTATTTATTTAATGCATTTAAGAGCAGAAAATAGCTTTTCTCCTGTGTTTGAAGTCCAAAAATCTTAATGGGAGCCAGATATTACTGCGATGCTGTAATTAAAGGCTGACATTCATTTCCCCGCAAACTGTTCCTATCCAGGATAGAAGTCCATGGAGTTGGTTTGCTCTTTGCTGCACAATGATGCTCTTATTTTATCTGACATTCACTAAAAATAAGTGTGTGTGAATGAAGGAATTAGGTCACCTAGTGACATTACTAGTGATAGATGAATATTCACAKGGAAAAAAAAAAGTTTCTCTGTGCGTGCACAGCGTTGCACGGCTCTGTGCCCCAGAACAGCAGGCCGGCCACAGTAACTGGGCAAGGGAGGCCATGGGTAGTGCAGGTCGCTCTCCCTCTCCAACTAGCCCCAGGAAACACTCTGCATTTTTATTTTTGTGCATGCACGTGTCTGCAAGAGTTCTGGAGCACCCCTGGCCTTGCTTGCTGCAGATCAGGCCTGCCAGGCACCTGCACCACCACGGGAGCTTTTGCGAACAGCCAGGATATCCACTGCTCCCTGCTAACCGGCAGTGTTGTTTGTCCCTTTGGGCTTGCCCTGGTGCAAAGCCTGTCTTGGAACAGGATTGCACAAAAAATGCAAATCCAGCCCAAGCAGGAAGGGAGCTACAGAATAACAAGCTTGGATGACAAGGTGAGTTCTYACCACTACTTTGTGCTTTTTTTTCCTCGAGGAGAAGGACTTAGGAATACCAAATGCCTCTAAAAAGAGCACAGTTTAATAATAATGTAATTGGTTCCATAAACGATGAAAAGCAGCATTATCTAAACTCCTTTTCTTAATTTTTAACTCAAATAATATGCCCTAGATGCAAAGCCTTTTTTTGCTATTTAACTTCCCATGCATGCTCTCTTTGATAGACAAAGCTAATACCGTTTTATTTATTTGGCATAGCAGAGAATTTGTCATGTAAAACAACAAGCAGTTAGCTGCTGCACTGAGGACAGGCAGAAGAATACTAAAGAGCCTTGACCTTCATACCTACAATGACTGAGCAGTATTTAAAGAGGAAGGAGGGGCCCACTCCTTGGATGCAATTTATTCCTTTTAATCATCCTTGTCTCTTTCCTCAGCTGGCCTTTCATTCTGACAACACTCTTTGTGCCTGAGAAGCATCAGATGGGGTCCCTCTCAGATCGGGTTTTCATTGCCCTRCGCTTTTGCCACCAAGATGCACCACTGTGTCCTTCCTGAAGGACAAGCACATTCTCTATACGCAACTCACAAAAGCTCTTCTGATTTAGGGAAGAAACCAGTAAAGGTCAGGATCCAACCCTGGTTCCTTATGGATGCTTCACCTCCAGTATCCCAGAGAAAGTCTTTCCCCTTTCCAGTACTTACAGCATTATTTTAGGCAGGATCTCAGAGTTTATACCATCATGCTCCCCAGAGCTGATACGAAGAGAGTTCATAGAGATATTGGTAGAAAAGCATACATTAATAACTCATGATGCTAGAGCTGCAATGCCAGCCACACCAGAGCCAGTGCCTATGATTACCCTGCCAGAAGACACTCAGAGTGACCCAGAAAAAATCATATGTGCAGTCATCTTTATATATCCATTTACACCAGACCTGAATGAGGTCCTGTGTGTGTGATTGATAAATGATGAGCTTTAGCACTATTGCAGTGTTCGATTCACGGGGATGAGATTCACRTGCTGAAAAATTCTGTAAGTCAAGAGTCTTTCAGCTCAGTAAGGAAACACATCAATAATGAAAGAGCAAGCACAGGTCACTCCCAACACTAATCTGGGACACCACGAATGCCAGTCAGTGTGCACTGCTCTCTGCTATGGTATGGAAGGGGCAGAAATTGCGTGTATGCTGGTTTGTAATAGTGGCCTGGCCTTTTTGTACTATAAGACGGCCTATTTAGGCATAATACAAAAATTACTTGTGAAGGGCAGAAAAAGGGCAGACATTGCACAAGGAATTTTCTGTTTTGTGCCTTCTATCAGTGCAGTATCTGTACAAGGAGGAATTAATTCAACTTACCATGGCTCTTGTTTATAGTTCTGTAGTAGCCAATTTACTGCAAGAGCCCTGGAAGCCATCGAGTCAGCAAAGCAAGCAAGAGCTACATGTGCAGATCTGATACCTAGTGGGCAAAGGTGGGAAAGCTTTCACGTTCGATAGCTTTTCAAGTCTTATCCTGTTGAAAGCCATTGAATTTCACTAAATACATATGAAAACAATTGGTTTTCCAATTCCCTCTCAGAAATTTTRTGATTGGCATGTAAAAACTGCCTCAGAAAGTGCTTCCAGGGCAGCCTGAGTCAGGCTAAGCCTTTCCCCTGTTCCTGGCTGCAAGTTCCCATCCTTGCTCATGATTTAACACTGGCTTTCATGTGACACTAAAGCGAGACCATCCAGGAAGCTGATCCTGCCCAAAAGTAACAACTCTTCCTGAGGGATGAGGTTTCATCCCACCCCTAAATGACCACATGGAGCCACCAGCACATGMACAGGCTGGGAGGAGAGGACAGTCTCAGCAGCCTCCCTGTGTAGCCCGAGCAGTTAAGGACAAGCATATTCAGTATCTCCAGCTCCTAACACTTTTGCAAGAGAAAGCCAAGTCAGAATCTATCTCAAAGAAAATTTTCTCTCTTTGTGCAATACAGCATTCACGTGATAACTGGTTGCTACTCAYATATATTCTGTTTTAATTATTCTAAGACTGTTCTGAAAAGGGAAACATTTATGGGATAAGCATTRATTTTAAGCTTCCCCATTTGAAGATGGCAAGGCTCCAGTCTACTGTCCGCAGAAAACAATAGCAAGATTACTGGGCAAAGCTTATTTTCAACTTACCCTTGGTCATGCCCTTGGTCAACTTGGCCACTGACATCAGCTGTGTTATATAAAGCATGATAAATAGAAATGGAAGTTCATCAAATGCATGTCACTCACAAGATAAGATGCAAGCGAAGAGAGGTGCAGCAAGGGTCATATCCTCTATGCTCACACGCTGCTAGTGCAGCCCAGAGCAGCCCTAGGAGCCCTGCAGCCGGGTTCGCACCGTGGCATTCCCAAGCTGATTTACCCTGCCGCTCAGCTGAGCTACCGTGACCTTGTGAGCCGTAATACATCTACATGGCTTCCAGGCAAGAACTGGCTTGCCTCCAACTGGCTCAATAACAGGCACTGCAAATATTTAAGTCTGCCACCCATCTGTGAGATAGAGTCAGTTCCCTTCAAAAAGAAAAAGGCAACAATGGATGAGAAGTATCTAATCTTACGTGTATCGCGCTCTCCAGAGTAGTGTTTGAGCACCTACAACACTCGCCGCTAGCCAGAGGAATAAGCTGTGGAGAATAATTTATGGAGAGACTGTATTATAAAACATAACAAGACTGACAGAAACATTTTAAAAATAAAACAACTCAACTCATTTCAGTATTTTAAAACATAATTATAAGGGGGCTTTCTGCTGTTAGGACCCAGTGAAGCTTGCACAAAACTCAAAACACTTACTCAGTTCAAAGTTGGCTTGCTCATGCACCAGAGCTTCGTTTCCTTGGCCATAGCAAACTGACCATGGCTCCAGGTCAGCTTTTCTTGGGCCTCAGCTCCATGAATGGTGATCCTTTCATAGCACAGCAGATGCCAGGCTGGCACGTGCAGCTCCCTTACACCAAAATGACTGTCTTCTTGAAATGGTTTTCTCTAGATTCTTGTGACCTGTGCATTGAAATTCTGAAGACACAATATTTTACTGCGATGCCGATGAACTGTGTTGTTTCATTTTAACAGAAGTGAAACCTCAAATTGAAATACTATGCTGAACCTCAAATAGATATATTAGATCAAGATGCTTTATCTGACAAAAGAGAGGACTAGGAAAAYATGGTTTTATAACAACTTTGAGAAAGAAGTGCTCAAATCTTCCATCTGCCTGTCTTCTAACTCAAATGGAGAGTATTATTACTAGCCTAATGCATTTTTTAACAACAACTCCTGCTCTCAGGCCTGAGTTCACTCTCACTTAAATTTCTGCACGCAGAGTTTTGTCTGCATTTTAGTGATCCAAAAAGTTCCCAAAATAAGAAAAAAGCTGAAAACAGAATGTTTCTGTTTAATACGGGAGGACTTAACAGCAAATGTCATCCCTGTCCATCAAGATATACTGCTCGGATGTACCACTGCTTTAACTACAAATGCTTTAACAGTTGATGTAAAGTGGAAAAAGGAGAACACCAAACGCCACGAGAGCACAGGCAGAGGGCACAAGGCCTCACAGACACCAGGCATTACACATTTTAATGCAACCTGGCAGAGGAAACATTTCACTGGGTGATAAAAACACATTTTACAAAGGTCAGCCTTTTGGAAATAAATTACTGCTGTGCTTTGTTTTAAACAGCTGTATAAAGTTTACAGGACATTTTGAGGTACCTACTCTATTTCCTCTGCCTGCAAATGCCACTCCAAGAACTGGAAGGTTAAAAAATAAATCCTCGTTAATTTTGCCTAAGGAAACACTGTGTTTTTTATCAAGCATTCCKCCAGACATGTCTTTAGTCTTTACCATTGTGTTTTAGTAGTCTGGAGGCAGGAGTGCAGCTTTTTGCAGTTTATACCCTTCAAAAAGAGATTTGCTAAACAAAAGCCTCTTGTACCATACACAGTCACTCATGGGAAGCTGGACATCCTTGACAGGTCCTAAGAGGATGTATCCTTCCCAGCAAACAGCAAAGCTTGAGCGGAAATAGTGTCTAACGTAGAATCTGTGTTAAGACTGAGAAATCCCAGGACCAGCCCCTCCGGGGGCTCAACTCTGCCCCTCCGTGAGGACTGCCCACAAACCTGCTCCTTGTTTTACATTCCCAAAGTCAGCTTGTTCAGTCCTTTTCCAACCCACTTCTACCAAACKAATCCAGCACATTTCATTTTCCAAGATAAAAATTTTTACTGCTTGGCATGTATCCTGTTTTATGCTCTCTGTCTACACACACACATACACACACATCCCCCCCTTAAGCAAGGGTAGGTGAGTCGAAAGAAGAAGTGTTCTTATTCTTATTAGATCATCTGACAGCACTGGAAGAAGCAGACCAGCATTTTAGCACCTGAGCTCTTTTCCAGGCCCCGAGGAGGGATTTGTGTGCTGGGGGCCTTGCCTGCTGCTTTTATGACCTTGGACCACATAGCTATCACAGCAGTGTTACCGCAGCACAGAATATATAACTCATCTCTCCCAATATAAACATAGCATATTGATATAGAACAACTACTTTTCATCTCAACAAATTAACTCTTTTAGGTATATCTTTTAGGTTGCTCTTTCCTACCTTCTCTTATGCTCCAGCACTAGCATTTGTGCAAGACTGACGTGAGGMAGGTCAGGAAGTATCCTGTAAGGATGGATAGATTGCTTGTCAATACAGTGCTTCAAGGCCTGCCTGTAGTAAACAAATCTCAAGCCTAGATGTCCAGCGTGAGGTATTGGGGCTCATATTTACTTACTTATATATTTGTGAGATTTCTTGGAAGCCTGGGAGATGCAGACAGGCAAAGGTAGAATTCCAGCTTTCAAAAGGGACTAAACAGACTCCAAAACCTTATCCCAGAGCATGGAAGGAAGAGGCCTTCTCAAACAGAGCAGAAGGCTGCTGGGTACAGATAGAGGGCTCCTAAACCAAACCAGGGGGGCATCAAGAGGCAGCAGCTGAAGCTCTCCTCCTGGTGGGGCATCAGGAGAAGATGTGCAGGAAGGAAGGGACTGAAATTTCCATGGGARCTGGATGACAGTGCTGCCAACCACAGGACACCAAGGAGAGCGTGTCACAGCTCAGCTGCAGGCTGCTAGGTCCAACCGCCTCCTTCCAGCTCTCAGATACATGCACATGGATTTTAAATCTTAGATCTGATAGGATGAATCTAGACTGTAAATGTACGGTTTGAGTTTTGCAATTAGGCTAAGGAAGATTTAAGCTTCTGAGAAGTTAAAATAACAGGGAGACCTGATCCATATACATGATTCTCACATACATATTTTTTATATTATTTATACATGTGTACATATATATATGTATAATTTAGTATGTTGACATATAGTTATTACATTTATAAGAAGTAAACCTCTTTCAAACAAAAAAATCTTTACATGAAATTCCTAAGCTTTTTTCACAGAACAATTATGGTTGAATTAAAAAAAAAAAAAAAGAAAGAAAGAAAAATAATGCTGAGTTTCTGCAGCGGCACTGAAAGTCATCACATGCATTTTATTCCCCTCCTCTCTTCCTTCTCAAGTAATGTTCCTATTACTCGAGTCTCTCTTCATCAGGGCAGACATGAAGGAAGCAATGTGAATAAACAGAAGGGATTTCAGGACACACTTTACCTCAGGCTTTTAGCATGCAATATAGCTCGCTAGAAGGCAGCTTTGATGCCACTGTTCTTTCCCCTGAAGATATCCCTCATTACTGAATGCTACATGTTGCCCTGTTGGTCTGGAAGGAACATTTCATTAACTACAATATCACTATAGATTGCATCTAGTTGCCATAGAAACTTTAGAGGAGAAGCTTGGGTTTAACCCTTGGAATGGGCTGTTTTTTTCCATCCTKACAGCATTAAAAGTTTAAAAGACACCATTTATTTTACTGGCCTTTATCTTCCCATATAAAAACTGACAGCTGTTGATAATTCATACAGACTTGATGGCTGTGGAATATTTTTATTACAGTATCTACTACTTAACTGGGACATTGCAATGAGTGACAAAATTGCTGTTGACTTCACAGCAGCTGCGATTCTGCCTCAGCTGCTCAACGTCAAAGCTGCAGTAAAACTGTGTAGGAAAGTCCTTCTAATGGGATGTTCTGGCGGAAGCGAGAGCGAGCCAGCAAGTCTGGGCGCTGGCCACCACTCTGCCCCAAATGCCACCTACCTCAATTTGCCTGTCAAATGGACATGATGAGATCTACCTTATGTTACACACTGCATGTTTACAAGTTCCTTAGAGAACTCGAGTAGAAAGTGACTGCTTACAGAAACTTGTTTTTTTTTTTTTTCACGCGCTAAGAAGATGCCTAAGAGATGTATGCGTGATTGTGCTTTGTCTCAAATAGAGATAACCCTTCATCCAGGGATCTACACCAGGCTTTGCAGCTTCCTAGGCAACAGTGCTGCTATTAAAATGTTGTTCTCTGTTAACTGAGACTTCTTCCCAGAGTGCATGGATGGCTCCAACTTCATAGTGTGTTCACATTAAAATAAGGCACTGTTGTGCTCCAGACTGCACCATTTTTTCTCAGAGCTACATAGCTCATTCACTGAAGATGCACCAGCCCTCCCTGAAACTGGAGCCACGACTCCACATTTGTTTGTTCTTTGGACTTCAGCAACAGAACGCTTTTTATCTTGCTAGTTTCACTTCTGTAAAATGCAAAATGCAAAACCTGCAGATTAGGCTACTTCCCATTCTCATAAGCATGAGGGTGAACTGTGCAGTGTATGCTATTATCACTCAATAAAGAGTCCCTTCTACCCTGCACAGCAACATAAAAATGTGGAGAGCCTAGTCTCCAAGAGGTCTCAGGTTCTCCAWACCCCTTTCTCTTGTGTTCTCATTTCCTCACTTATTACAAATACATCAACATCAACACACGATAGTTTAAGGTTACAGTAGTGGAAGGGCCTGGCTTTGCCTGCTGCCAACATTCCTCRCAGGGCGGCCTGTGCACACTAGCACTTTTGTTCTTTCTGCTGCAAGCTCCTTTCAGTTTGTAAAACTCGGCCTCTAGTTACAGCTGGTTTTGTGCCGAAAGAAAACCAGAGGGGAATGTGTGCGTGTGTGTATGCGCTCAGCTCCGTGTCTATCCATGGTTGTGGTGGGGGTTATAATTAACTTGGTAACAGAGGTTTTGTTACTGAGATCCTCTGAACTGCACTGCACAGCCCTTACTCATGCTGGTGGACCAAGTAGTGTCACTGAAGTCATGAGACTGTGGTGCATTATTATTTCAAATCATATAATGATCACTGTAATAGGAATGATCATAATGAAAGACTTTCATTGGGAAGTCAATGGATCTATTTGTGCAAATGTTCACAAATATGAATGAGAATTGCACAATTTAGCCCAATACATACTATTTTCTGACAAAATCTCAGTATCTTTTCTTGATAAAATCGCTATGAATAACACTCTCTCAGATGTGSAAGCTACACAATGAACCTGGTTCTGCTTGGCATATCTAATTTGGCTCAGTGGCATTGCTCCAGAGGAATGTCTTTAACTCTTTAGAGCCACTATGAGATTAGGACAAGTTTGATGCTTTTAGCGGATTGACTAAGGAGGATTTGAAAAAGGATTTTGTGTCTTTGGGAAGCATTGGCTTTGAATAGCACTATTTCAATTGAAATGTCTCACAACAGCCTTAAAAAGGTGCACCAATGGAAATGCTCACAAAGGGACTATAATTCATTATGATAATTCCTATTATATGACTTGAAATAACAAGGTAACAGTGAAAAACTTCCAGTGAATAGGAAAATTATTTGGTGATAGTCTTATCTGTTATTAGCATTCACTATTTTGAAATAGGAAGTAGGCCTGTGACCCAGTTGCACATTTGAGTTGAGAAACACAAGCTCCAGTAAACCCATGAAGCACAGGAATTCTGTGATGATCTGGCTGCCAAAGGTAATCCGAGCAGCACACACAGGTAAAAGGTTTAATTTGGCCCTGCCAAAAAACCTGTAAACAGATAACTGCTTATCAAACATCCTGTTCTCGCACCAGATGGAGGCAGATTCTTGGGTTACAACAGATAGGCACCTTATTTTTCTGAGAASATTTGCCATGACACACTGCTATTCCTCATTCCTGACTGCAGCTAGTGCTTGCAAAGGAGGTTGGAAAAATTTAGAAAAGCACTTGGCATTATTTTGCTCAGTGAGCCACAACTTAAGTCTTTGGCTGGCTACCATGTTTTGGGGTTACTCTAGACATACTTGTCCATTCATTCTGGATGTAAAGAGAGGATTTTGACCAGGTCTCTGGCATCCTGGCTGAAACAAACCAAAAAGACCCCTAATCATACTAAGACATGATGTAGGTAGGGGCAGTAAACCTGACACATCCAGCAGTTGGATTTACAGTACATGAATGGCATATTGCGTGCACTCAAATGTTTTCCTTGGGGAAGCCTTGGCCAGGCTTTCCACTTCTCCAGCTTTTGGAAATACAAAGGTTTGGTCGTGTAAAACTTCAAAGAGCTGAAGAAGAAAAAGTGAAAACAGAACAACGGTTGACAGATACCAAAGACATCCTACTCGGTAATTTTGGACACCAAATCATTTGAATAGAAAAGTGTTCTTTGAACTGATGAATGGCCATCCTGTTATCCCACTGCATCATCCTAGAGAAWTAGGGCAGCCAGGATATGCATTATGACCTCTGCTAGTCTTGTCTGTCCCTGCAGGCTGATTGACCTGGCATGAGTGAACCATCTCCCAGATGAAATCCTGGCAACTGTAAACTTCAGCATTGCCAGTACTACCTCTGGTTCCTCAGTCTTCCAGTTAATCTGTGACAGGACTCTCTCCAACAAAACAAAACAATCAAACAAAACAACAGTAATAACAACAACAAAACAGGATATCATTGTGCAGATTCTAAAGAACTAAGACATATTCATAATCAGATTAGTCTGTGTCCTTGTATATCAAGGTACAGTGAAACATCTAAGAGAAGATCCTATCCTAAAAGTCCCTAAATTCTCAAACTCACTATGAGGTGCATTTATCACACTTTAGGATTTGTGTCCTCATAAATTTATTGTCCAACATAACTCTAAAACTTTTTGTACTTAAATTATCTAACAGATGTATTCCATAGCAACTGTACCTGCAGACATCCTCCACACCGAGACCAGATGTCAATTCAACATCAGAAAAAAAATCTGAGCCTAAAAAGAGCAAATAGCTCTTATATGAAAGAGGAAGAACATCTGTCTAAACAGTCTTATAAAAACACTACAGTATTCTAGAAAAATAACCCCAAAGCATGTAGCAGTACTTACTGCCTTTGCAGAGCCTCACTGCATATTATAGGCTATTATTTTCAAGTGACTACCTTGTTGTTGTTTAGCTTTATTTTAGACCTTTACCTTTTGAAACATACTCTGAGGTATCTTTCCACAGAGACAGTGCTAAGATCTATGAAACATTGGTACCTCAAACTGGTATTACACAAAGTCAAGTTGTTTTTGAAAAATAAGGCCTCCCAGTATTATTTTGATAGAGGATCAGAATCTTTTTATAAATACGTGTATATAATCTGATCTTGACAATAAAGTGTCACCTCTAAGATGTGACAGAAGAGCTGATATATGAATAAATGACAATCTAATTTAACTGAAATGTTAAGAACTGCCTACATTGTAAATATAAAACAGCACAGACTGGTATGTGTATTAGATGACTGGAAAATAGATTATTTGCAGATATGCAGGTACGTGTTGCGTGACAGGAGGCACCAGAATCTCCTCCTCAATATTGCAGGAAAAATGGGAATAGTTAGGCTTATCTTTGCATCCTCACTGAGGTGTATGAATGAGAGCACCATTGAGGTGCACAGATAAAAACCACCCATACAAACAGTATAGGTTCTAAGCACTCACTTTCGAACTAAAATCATATTAAATTAAGTTTGGRAGTGGGGGGTTTCCATTCAAAATATCTATTCCATATGCCAAGTATGGATTATATGACTTCTTTTGACCCCATTTCTAGACTCTGACAGCTGCTCCCAGCAAATCTCTCAAAGGGAAATACTAAGTAAGGAATTAGCCACAAATACTAATATATGTAAATTCCTGAAAAACTGCAATTTATGTTTATTTTCTTAGAAATTGAAAAACAAATAGTTAAATTTGAATCCTCTTTGCTGTGCCTTTTGTTAAAATTGTCTCCTTTGGAATAATCTGCTTAGCCCAGCAGCTCAGCTATCATTTTTAAACAAATAGTTAAATGCTTAGAAGCAAGTAGCACTCACCCAACCAGCCTTATTGACTAGTTCTCAAAGAGGCAAGTCCTTCAGCAGAAATTAAGCAAATGAAAGCATTATTTATCTATAGAGACCAAAACATGAGCTAATTGTACTTGCTGGACTGTAAACAGTACTGTAAAGAGAAAATGCCGAGGGCTAAATTCCCCAAGGCAAATCCAATTCAACATTATAAGACATAACTTTTAGGCATCCTGCTGCCTAGCAAGTCCTGCTGAGCCCACAGTTTCAAGTATGCTTTATAGCGTGAAATAGGACTTCAAGAAAGGGATTTCCAAACATCAGTTGACAGATGAGGGAACAACCTAACCATTTCTCTAACAAACATGAGTACAGAGGCAAGGCTTGAGCCCKCAGGGACTTTGCTGCCTCTTTCTAGCCTGCCATGAGACGTTCATGAACATGTCCCCTTCTAGACCTCACTGCCCAGGCCACATCACTCCCATTTTGTAAAGGAGGATGTAACAGAGGACTCCAAGGGGGAATCTTCTCTTCTTCTCCCCACCACATGTTCTTCATGTCATGTTGCCCACACACTAAGTTGAGGAGGGAAAGGAAAGCAGGGAAGAAAGTAATTCTGAGAAAGCAGAAGTAGTTTCCAGCTCCATTACTACATTGCCTCCACCTATACCACCTGCTTCCTTCTCAAAGCCTTCCCTGATCTTTGATACCACCACTTCCTGCTTCTAAAGAATATTCAATAAAATGCTTTGGATAAAATACTTAAATATTCATTAAGACAAAGAATCAAAAGAACAATCCAATATCATTAGTAAGAGCATATCTTGGAAAGATCTCAGCTTTGGGCTCTGACCCAGTGGGGACACCAGTATTTAAAGGCACTGATGCAAGTTCCACAGATCTTTCTCAGGCTACGGCAATACAGATACTCCACCAGTACACCACACTTCCTCACAAGTCATAAGAAACCACCAAAAACAAACGGACAGATTCATTTACAGTCCAAAGTTTACCAACATGACAAAACATCACACAAAAATTATCAATAACAATAACCWGCAATCAGCTGAGAAAACACTTAGGGAGGGGAGTAGGCAAGAGCCCTTTTTTTCCTCCTCATTCTTTACAATTAGGTTGAAATTACCTGTCAAATATCTCCAAAGTCTCATCTTGATTCACCAGAGGCCTAGAAATTTATTTGCGSCATTACATTTTGTTCTGTGTTTTTTCCCTTCATTGCTGGGCAAATAACAGTGACCAACCCACACCGATCTTATTAAATGATGGAATTTCCTGCTCTGGTTAGTACTACAGTTTGGGTTTTAAATTATCCCCCAAGTGAGTGTTTTCCTGGTTTTATTGCCAGGCTTTGGAAAGAGGCCTAGCACCCAGGCCCTGACAAGAGCACAGCTACGCAATATCCAGCTGGCTGCTGTCCCGAAGCAGTAGGAGCAGCCATGGACCGGAGGGAGATTTACATGGCTGCGGGCTGCAATCCTTGTAGCTTCTCTTGCAGAGCTCTGCCCTCCCCTGCTACTGTAAGCCGTGCTTCCCCGTGACTGTACAAAGCAACGTGCTGTCCTTTCGCGTTGACCCTGGAAAYCCTGCCAAGCCTTGGGAGGGCCGCGCAGGCAGCTCACTGCTGTGTCAGCCTCAGGGCTGCTCAAGGGCGGGATGGCGCTGGGACCAGCCCTCTGTACAGCCTGGCTCTGCGCTGACTGAAAACAAGTCTTTGCAGCCAAGTTTCTTCATGAGAAGGGGTGGCAGAGAACTAGAGTTTCTGATTTTCTTTGGCTCAAATGAAATATTTACACTGTTTCTGATTCACGAGATTCACTGTTATAGTTAATCCATACCAGGAAGACCTAAATTCTCACTAACATCAGTGTGCTGGCTAACATGTCCTCATTCAGCTTTGTGATGATGATATAAAGTTCCTTTCAAATTGTCACTTTATGTCTCTTTAATTGTCCATATGCACAGGACTTGATTCTACCACCAGCTCACTTGATTGCTGGTATTTTACTCCTAAGTTGAGCTTGAGATGTTTGTTAGCCTCATTTTTGTTTTCCACAAATACTCAGCAATTCARTTCTTCTGGATTGTTTTACCCCTCTTGGGATATAACAGGTGACAGAGGGAATCGATCGTTTATATGAAAAGCAAAATATTTTTCTGCAGCAATGCTTTCTGTGCAAGCTACACCCAATACATTTTGCAGGAATAAAACACCAGTCCTAGTGATCAAATCCTGCACATGACTACCTGATGGGTTGTGAGCAGACACCTACACGGTTACGATAGCCATCATTCAGGTATGGTGATACCTACATTTCTTCCAGGGGCCACTTCCATAATTCTCCTGATACTTGCACAATCCAATCACCAGAATGGATTTTACCAAAGAAGCTACTTGATCTTTGTCACAGTAACAAAGTAAGAAGAGATAATGCCAAGTGACTTACCCCCAAAGCAGCTCTGAGACACACACTACTCTTCAGCAGCCTAAGACCAAGGCCTAACATTGTGCCTAATGCTCATCCACAGAGCAAAGCCATCTGCTAAGGCCAGAAGGCCTTTTCTCCACTAGGCAAGGAAGTTCTCCAGCCCTCAGATAATTAGAGGTTTATTAAGAGTCTCTGACCTTCCTCTTCAAAGGCTGCATGAATGGAAAAGTACAGGGGTATCAGTGCCAGCTCCTCCGTTTGCTTGGGAAACAGCTGTAGCAGTTTAAGGAGCAAATATGTCACAGCTGCTCCCAACAGTAAATTCCTGCTGCTCAGAGAAGAAGAATCTGAACCCATGAAATCTCTTAATACATTTCACTATGAAGTTATACAGTCACCCATATGATTTAACCTAATCTGTTTGACTTTGCACTGAAAGGGACTAGGAGCATTTACCCAAATAACCACTACACCTTCTCAGCTCCAAGCTAGGGGCCACCAGGGACTGGTGGCCAATGGTCCAAAGACTCATGAGTCCAAAAGTACTAATGTCCATACAATTGTGAACATATGCCCTGATGATTTTGAAAGTGCAGCATATCTCCAGGCTTCATTGCTCTTTCACCTGAGTGGCTCTCATACAGTGGGTTACAAACTGTACCTGGGAAGGATGGGAGTGCCAAGAGACTTGCAAGGTGCCCTGATCCCAGACCTACAGACAGATCTTTTGAACTTCTCCAGAATAATGTATTTTAAAAGCAATTGTCTAGCTACCTAATTATCCTAAGAGGTTAAAATACATCACAAATGAGGGCTAGAATTTTGTAAGAAAGCTAATGGGTTTAGGCACTCAAGTCATATAGAATTTCACCGCTCAGACTTTATTGAACAGATTTTCTAACCCGTAGGCAAAACTTGTACATGACTGAAGCAGGCTCACATCCACCTGATGTTTGCTTTTGTAAGTTTTCCCTTCTGAAAAGAGATATTCAGTGTTTTTTTTTTAGAGATTGTAGTGTGTGAACAGCAGAGGAGATCTTAGCCATCCCTAGGTGCCTTAATGACCTGGGAGACTCCTGGTGAACGCTGCCAAAGAAAACGGCAGGAGAGATCCCACAAGACATCCCAAAGAACACACAAACAGATGGGAACACAAAGTTTTGGCAACAGAGCAGATGCGAGGCAGAGGAGCACAACTTGCTACTTGTGCATTACTGATCTTAAAATGCAACTCGCTAGCCTCGTTGCAGGCCACATTGTTGCCAGCTTTTACCCTGACCCTCTGGATCAGGGTCTGTCAATGAAACGTCACCACAAATTATGTTTTTGTTGGCTCCCAAGAACATTGCATTCTTAAAACGTGAGCTGGCTGGGTCTGATGTGCAGAAAATGTGGGGGAGGGTAGAAACTGCCTCCAGAATGAAAAAGACCCAAGACACTGGCTCCAGGAAAAAGCCTGACAGAGCATGAGGCTAGAGAACGAAAAGGGCAGGCCAAGCACGCCAAGGAAGAGCAGAGCCTCTGGTACTGCAACACGGGCTTCTGCACCGCTGAGGGAAGACAGGCCTCAGCATGCTCTTCATTTTATCCCCTGGATGTGATCTCCAGAAAATATAGATAGATAAAATGCCACAAATGCACATGAATGAGAAGCCTGGATTTCTGCCTTGAAATATTTTTCCTTCAGCCTTGGTGCAATATATTATATTAAGTGGCACTGTAACTGCAGGGCAGTGTCTAAATCCTTTGGGGAAATTAGATCCTCGGGACAAAGTCCCAGTCACATTTTAGAGAACTTCTCCCCATGTTTGTCCAGAGCAACATGCTTCAAACTAATATAGGAAAGAGCATTATTCTATATTTGATATCAACACATTTAAAATTTGCACGGGGTGAATATATCCTGCACGTTTATATCTCAGTATCATCACAGCTTGCAGCAGTGGGACTAATAAAGAACACCATGAATTACTTAGGGTGCATCAGAAGAAATGAGGAAAGGATGGACGAAGAAAGGACATCACCCAAGGAGTACAGTAATATTGGAAATACATCCAAGGAAAATGTAAGAATAGACAAGTTGAGGTGGGGAGAGGAGAGAAAAAGTGGAATTGCTTTGCTGAAGAAAGGGAGGGGGAACCTTTCACTGTTTGGCTTTCATAGAGAGCAGCGAGCTGAGATGTACGATGAGGGGAGCTTGTGTTTCTCTGCTGAACAAGGTCATTAAGCATAATTAATACACTCATTAAGAATAGATGCAACCRCCTCTACTCAGAAGTTATGAAAAGCAGGAATAAATTAGGCAGCAAGTGGAAGATCGTTAACCTCATGGTTGCCCACACCCAAGCACAAGTTGAACGAGCCTCCCGGAAAGGGGAGCAGCTGAGCAGGGCGCAGCGCGACGCGCTAACGCTCGGCAATAAGGGAGCASGAGCGCAGGACGGACGCAGTGCCCCGGGAAGGCCTCTGAAGTGGTAAATAGTCGGGCAGCTGCGTGCGCTATGAAAAAAAGGAGCTGCTGTTGTTCCCATTACAGCTTGTGCCGCTACCACGTTCCAGGGCTGATAGCGAGACTGAAAGAATTCATTAAGGAAATGGACATTTTTTGAGCGTAGCCTTTGTTGCTCATCACTTTTGTTTCTTTATTTAACTCTGATCATTTCTGAACTAGATAGCCAAAATTCTCAAGTTCCAGAAAGGCAGCGTTCCCAGTGACCCCAGGAGGTTATCTGGCAACGTGCTCATTCCCTCACAGGGAAAATGATTTTTATCATCAGCAGTTCCTTTTTCCTCTCTCCATCACGTCTCATGTAACTAAGTTAGAAAAACGTGGCCTATTAGTCTAGCTCTATCTTCAGTCCTGGCAAGATAATGTGATCTTGCTATGATGTTTATATTTTTAATACCTGGTCTGTTACATCCCTGTTATAATAGAAGTGCRACTCAGTGCAGACCACATGCATTTATTTACTAGTCAAAAGGCTGTAATAGTTCCCACTGTTCTTTCCTATTCGTGCTGTAAACRGAAAAGGAATGGGAAAAAGCAAAATGACCGTGTAAAATATTGTTCTTAGAGACAATCTAGATTGCAGTTTTGGCTTTACCTACATTATCTTTGCCCATAGATGAAAGGAAATACGTCAATGAAAGAGGTTTTTTGAGATTAAAAAATCTATTAGGCCTATAGTAATCTCATTATATAGGAGATTACTATATACTGAACTTCAAATACATATTCTTTGTTATTTTAATATTTATTTTAAGCTATAAAATTTTGTATAAGAAGCCCATATTAAATAAATATTGTATTACAAAGTCTTCCCTATTTAGAGGTGTCTAAGAGCACAATCCTTAAGAAAACAACCTTGCTTTTACTCATTTATGTAACAAATTACACATGACCCAAGTTAGTAAAGCAATAATGAGAATAATCATTGGCAAATGGGTAGACCTTTTAAAAAGTGCTTTATACTGCATATTTCTAATCTTGACCTGAGATATTTGTGAGAGTTTCTCATTATGTGAAGGATTTTAGCATAAACTTTTGTTTCTTATTGATAATATAAGCAAAMAGTTTCATTTTATTCCGCATCTTTTTATCGTTATTTATAACAATGGAGAACACAGCGTTTCTCTGTTCAGCTTTCTCACATGTTAAGTTGTTAACAATTGCATTCTTGCAAGAGAGTAAAGTCTGCCAGTTATGATGCTGACTTCACTGTGGGCAGGATAACACGTTTGAGCCTGTTTCTGCAAAAGGCAGCAGGGAAAAGACTCCCCTGAATTATCATGGCGCAGGATGAAGACATTTAAGGATGATCCACAAGAAGTGGGTGTTAGATCGTGTGTGACAAGTTCCCTGAAGTTTGAAATGCACCGAATCTCTGCATCAATTCGTTAGCACAGTTGGGAAATGAGTAAGGTCTCTAAGGATGGCAGCCTTTTCTAATGACCTACTAATGGTTAATACTGCAAATATGATATCTAAAAATCCCCATAAAATCACATGATGCAGACAGCGCTTAGAGGATATAGTGAGTGCAACAGCTTTTGCTTTAGATCTTCTAATGGTAACACATTAGAGGATTTCAGTTGTTTTTTTATTTTTCTTCTGTGTTTTCTAAATGCTGACACAGATACTGAGTCCTGCTATTGGGTCAGTAAAGAACTGGTTTATGAAAGACGGGAAAAACTTCTGCTAAGGGAATAACAGATTCAGGATTCATTTCATCTTGTTTTAGTGGATTTTCATACCTCATTTTCATCCTTCATTTTCATCCTTCATTTTACATCTACTGAAGAATATTCATCACAGTCAGTCTATAACTCACAAGCATTTGAGGGGCCTTCTGTAGCCAATTTGTGTACAAAGATTATCATCAGTGGAGTGAACTTGTGCTTTACAACACAGGTGGTAGCAGCTATTGCTGGAATTTGAAAGCAGACGTGGGTTTAAGTGAATTTACTACCACTAACATCTGCAAAAATGCAAACGGAATTTAACCAATCCCCTAGTTATCTGTTATCAACACTCACCCCTGTTGATAATGACAACATGAAAGTCATATTAACAGAAGGAAAGACAAAGGAGATGCTTGACATTGCCCACACCCTGTAACCTGATCTGTACCTCAGAAGGGGATTTTTCTGGTTTGGCAAAGGAATAATCAAAACCATTTTTAATAGGTAAAAAATGAAGGTGGTAGCAAAATGGAAGCAAGCAACTGCTAGGGACTGCCTAGATTATGTACTGGCTTCTGAAGAAAAAGAAAAAGAAAAAGAAAAAGAAAAAGAAAAAG